CGATAATCAATCTCGTAATTTGATTCCTTTTCAACCTTGTCTTGCTATATCAAATCTGCAATTATATCCAACCAAATTTTAATATCCCTCCAAAGATATTATATATAATCAAAATTGTCTATAAATTTCCAACCCATTGCTTCCTGAAATCTATTTCAATATCGGCAAAGATCGCTTCTTTAACAATCTTGCCAAAAGACTATATAACAATGAATTGCGATTTTATCTCATCAAAAAGTTGTTAATTTCCAATAATGAATTCTATCTATTTCGATATCTGCGAAATATTCGATAAAATATCAAAGGATATTAAATATTGTTCGAATAACCATATAAAAACATGCACGCCATATCGGCGCTTAAGAGGCGGGGGAACGAAAGCGATAACGACAACGCGACGGTAATAACGACGACGATCGTAAAAACATCTTAATAATACAGAAAACGAAGTTATGCAGGTGTGGTTTTTACGCGCTTCTGTGATTTGTGGTTTTCTGCGTTTTTTTTGAAAATGTTAGTTGTGTTGAAGAACGTGTCTAGCAAAAATGTCGACTTGTAATCTGTCAAATTTCTCATCAATCTTATTCAAACATACTAGTTCTCATGATTCCCACACAGAAGTCCATCAACCATCATCTATCAACAAGTCCACGACATCCCATCATACATCATCAGGTCATCACCTCTACGAGGGAGATCTGGTCTCCAAGATCCAGCAACTGGGGCCTGGGCCTGGGCTTCTCTGGGGGGGGGGGGCGAAAAAAAATGGTTGCCACGAGCATTTTCTTTTTCGCCCCCCCCCTCTCGGGGAGGAGCCCGGCAAGCCCAGTTGCTGGAGATTGAGGACTCATTGAGATTAGAGGTCTTGGAGATAAGATCCCCCTCATAGAGGTGATGATCTGATGATGTATGGTGTGATGTCCTGAACTTTGATAGATGATGATTGATGGATTTCTGTGTGGGAATCATGAGAGCTAGCAGCTAGTATTTTCGCAAAAGCTTGATGAGAGATCTGAGAGATCAGAGCCATGCCAATTGGATCATTGCCTATCAGAACATGGAGAAGGAATGGAGGATTCAAGCTCTATGTGGTGAGGGTGAATACCTATATTGTATGGTCTCAATGGTGGAGTGTGGAAGAGTGTCTTTATTTGGAGATGGGCATATAGCTAGAGAGCATAGGAAAATGGAACTTCCAATGTGGATGAAGTGAGATGAGATGAGATGAGATGAGATGAAGCATTGGGTGCATCAAACAGCTGGCATTGGGGTTGTGGCTGTATGTATGCAATTCATTTGAGACCAAAGGCGGCTGCATAGACGCAACACCTGGGCATGAGAGATGGGGATCCTGATTTTGAGCAAATTGTATTGCTATACAGCCATTGAGCAAATGCCCCAGACAGCAGCGCAATATGGATGGTGCTTCGATTGGGTTTGTTTGGCCTCCAAGAGCACATGGGCACCATATGAGAGGGAAATTTGTTAGGCAATCAATGAGGATGGGGTCCATCGAATGCCTGGTGCAAATGGGTTTGTGTGCATGGTTAGGTGGCCCAATGGAAGATCAGAACCATTTGGGTACAGCATTGGTTGGTCCTCATGATTCATGCTATTGGTAGAGCATATTTTTGGCCCAATTTATTGGTTTACTTTTGGGTGGGTGTTGGTGAGGTCCAATGAGGTTTTGAGCTTGGGTGACATCACGGGAAAAATGTCCTTGGCAATATTGGGTGAACATTGGGAGCATGCTGAGCATGTCAGGTTTGGTACAACCTGACTTCATGTATGTCTATGTGTGGGCAAGAAGGTTGGGGTGAAGAGAAGGTTCTTCATGAGCTTGGGAATGAGTAGTGGCCACACAGCCAATTCAGACCCTTAGTGTATGTATAGCTGGATCGTTCCATGGGCTTCATAAGGTTCTTTGGAAGATTTCGTCGTAGATGGGGGGATATGGAGCATAGACCTGAAGAGCCATTGGGTGAGAACAGTGGAGATGAGCAGGATTGGTCTAATCGAACTTATGGGATAGGATGTGAACTCCCAATGCTCGCAGAATGGTTGCCTATGACCCTGATTATGGATATGGGCGTCAAGAAGGCCATGCAAAGCCCAATTCCAATCAATCATCCAGGTCCAATACTACCAAGCAAGTTTCTCAATTTTTGTTGGGCCTGGTAGGCACATTGTGCTTTAAGATAATGATCTTCTCTCCATTTCATAAAGAATGTGGAGGGAGAAGCCCATTTCATAAAGAATGTGGAGGGAGAAGCCCAAAAAGTGCTACCTTTGCAACAATGAGAATGCTTATGGGGAAGGAAGGCTAGAGTCGGATCCAGATGTTGTTTTAAATAAAATTGGTGTGTTTGGGAAACAGGAGTACAAGAGTATATCTAGACCGCAACCTTGAAAATTCGTTCAAAACATGACAAAATCTAAGAAAAACACAACAAAAGCGCGTAAAAACCACACCCGCATAACTTCAAGCTCTCTAAAAATAATCCCCTAAGATTATGTTTAAGATTTCGTGTCCCTTTAGGGGGGGTCATTACCGCTTCAATTCGTTAAGGGGGAAACATCTATTAATTCATTTCACACCAAGTGTAGAGGGGAGGCCGTTTAAGTATTTTTTTCAATTGAGCCCGTCGATTTTGACTCATCTAATCGTAAATTAGAATTTTAACTAACCTCCTTCGGAGATCGCTTTCGTAAATTCTTCTTTTCGAATCGTAAAATCAAAAATTCCAGTCTTAAGAAATAAATTATACCAATTATGTTTTTTGTCTTTAGACCTTTAATCCTATCAAAATTCAAATAGCTATCGTAATATCCGTATGCAATAATGTCCGTATGCAATTTCTATCGCCTATATCCTTCTCTTCAATAATTAGTTTCCATTTATTTATAAATCTATAATTCTATTAAAATAGTCAATTAAAATCATCGCCCGAAAATTACCCTCTGCACCACCCATAATATCATAAATCTAGACCTTATCCTTCTAGAATCCTTCTATAATCCTTAAAATTCAATACAATCTCCAATATAAATAAATAAAAATTATGCATATTTCATATATTTATACAACCTCAAATATATATAATTAAGTACAAAAATATATTATTTTGTTCAATTATCCAATTCAAAATATAAAATATATATATATCCATATCTATATATAATAATTCCTTTTGCGTACACGTTTAATTTCTATATGTTCATTTATTTTCCATTATTTTTGTTTTCCAAATATTTTAGAATAAAAAAAAATTCTTATTAATACCTAATTAATTACAACAATTTCTTATCCTTGGCCGTAATTAACCAAATACCTTAGAATAATGCAAAATTCATATTAATTGCTAATTAATTAAATCAATCGAAAAATTATCGTAATTGGAAAAATATATTAAAATAATATAAATAACAAAATCATTCCTATGGTAATAAATAAAAATAAAAAAATAATATAAAAAATATATAATTAATTAGAAATTTATACCCCGGAAAATTCATCTTAAAATATTAATTTTATAATAAAAATGAATATCGGAAATATAAATTTAAAAAAAAATCATAACGCGAAAAAGCGAAAAAAATTAAAGAAAAAAAAAAAAAAAAAACAAAAAAAAAAAAAAAAACAAAAAATAAAAAACAATTACCAAAGAAAAAAAACATACAAAAACGAAAAATCAAAAAATATAAATAAAAAAATAATAAAAAAATAATAAAAAAATAAAATATTTAAAATAAAATAAATCCAAAAATAAAAATAAATCAATTAAAACAAAAACAACAAATATAAAAACGCATCAAATGCAAAATCCGAAAGCAATTCCCAAAAAAAAAAAATAAATAAAAATATATTTATTTATTAAATATAAAAATAAATAAATGAATATTCCTTAATGTTTAATTCATTCCCCAGCCATATTTTCCCAAAAAATATATAGCCGTATGCAAGGCAAAGCCCAATGTCAAAATCATTAAAAGTTTGGTTTCCTCGTGTTGGAAATCATCATAGGTTCATTGCCAAAAAATTATTTACTTATATTTTTCCAATCATGCATGTTTCCACTAACTGCCGACGCTGGTGGCCAGTGGCGGCCACACAGCTGGAGCACAGAGTGTTCGAAAGACCCAGGACAAAGGAGACAGAATCTTCTGACCTAACATTGCACACACAGTTCCTAGTAGCTTCTTGTTACTACTAGTAAGGCACCTGTTACTACTAGCGTGGCACTTGTTCCTAGTAGCTTCTTGTTACCACCAAAAAAAAACAACACATGATCAGGTGGTCTCAGGATTTCATTAGCCACACATCTCTCCAACCTGGTCCAACCCCTCCCTCTCCAGCTGCGGCGACTTCAGGTGAGTCGCAACACCTTCAACACGGGCCGGTGCCGTCAGGCATCGCACCGTGGGAGAAGTCCGCTAGTTCGGCACCGATGGCGCCATCCAATCGGAGAAACCAAAGCTGGATTCCCACAAGTTGTTCGCCAAACTATCTGTGCACATGTCTTGCACATATATATATATATATATACACATCATACTGTATACTCACGGATCATGAAATGGCCAAAACCGTTTTTAGCAATTGATCATCGTGCCAGGTGGTCTAGTCAGTCTACAATTCATGTGCTCAAGACATTTGAGAGGAAGGAGATGAAAGCAGTGTCGATGAGAGCCCCACCCCATCAAAAGCTCCGTCACTGCCCATCGCTAGGAAATAAGTTCGCAAAGAAAGCAGGCGTCTAGTCTATTGACGAGGAAAGAGTCATGAGTCATGAGTTCTCTTTAGCCTTAGCAAGTTTGTGGGCAGAATTTGTGTTCAGCTGGCTCGATTCTAAGCAAGGATCGCGCCATTGACGTCGCTCTAACCATTTGCTTCCAACCTAACATGTGCCGCCAGCATGCAAGGCCGTTCATCTACTTGCCACTCTACCCTTTCATCACCGGTCAAAACGAGAAGATCTGGATGCTCTTCACTTTTCAGAGGAGGAACGATTCCATGCCACGCTGGCGGAACAGCGCAGAGCTGCCGCTGCTTTGTTTCGGACGCAACGGACGGTGAGCCCGGGCCGGCTGATGGCCATCTCTTGCACCAAACACATTCAACAGATTCCAGGCTGACGAGATGTCCTGGAGCAATTTGCTCCATCTCCAAAAGCACGGAATGGTCTCCACATCCACCTGAACGACAATGCGGTACAGAGGCCAAAAATGATCCTTTTCCGAAAGCCGCCATCCTTCACATCAGCACGGCCGCCACATTTGTGGCCAGACGCACACAGAGCCGGCAAACCTGGCACCTGTGCTGCCCGAACTCGACGCTGTGCGTAGTACAGCAAGTGCCTAGTACAGCAGATTGAATCTTTCCGGGCGCCTCGAAATCCGCCCCGAAAATCAGCAACTGGTACAGCTCAAAACACATCTGATATCATCTAATCATGTACAGAAGACATGCAGCTGGAGCCTGGCACCTGTACAACTCAGGAACCCCAAGAAAGTCTTGCTCACACAGCTTTATGGGAATATCCGTAGCCAGCTTTCAGCATACCTTTCAATCCCCATTGTCCCAAGATCAAGTGATCCCAAACAACTGGAAGCACCAAAATCGCAGACCGGAATGGATCCAGCAGCCTTGGTTAAAAGAAATCTGCGGAATCTACCGTCCGAAGCTGCCACCCCGCAAAAACACGTTACAGTATATTGGAGATGCACCCAACCATAGTTCATCAGTTCATCTCTCTTCACCTTCGGCCCCCGGAAACAGCACCCATGTCAGGCCGCGCTTTGGCCGATCCTGGCCGGGCACCAGCACAATCAAGGTGCTCCACCAGGGCTATTTTGATGAAGGGTATGATGACCCCCTATCGCAGGGAAGAAGCCTAACGGCAGCAAGTGTTTGCTCTTTAGACTTTCAAGCTAGGACCAAATGAAATGCAGCTTGGCATTGTTGTCTCATTCCCACCGACCAATGCTTGCCGGCTTCAGCTCAGCTCCAGTTGAAACAGCGTGGCAACATGGCCAACATGAGGTTCGGTTCTTCTCCATTCCTTGTTGGTCGACCCTCAACCAATTTGATCAACCTGTGTGCTTGCACCAGTGTTCAAAGGCTAATCTGGAACCAGCATGTTCAGAAGTTGCAAAGTCATGGACCACTTCTCCCAGACCGACATTTTCTCCCAGGCCTCACTGCAGGAGCTTTGTAATCTCCCGCGAGTCCAGCAACTGGTGGCAAAAGAGATTCTGTGATGTGCATTGAAATCTACTACGCGCTCAACTACGTATAAGTTCACGTATATACACAGGTGCCTCCCCGAATAGAAGGGTCATTGAGTTGTTGATACCGCAGCCAGTTCACCAAAATGTTTGCAACAACCTCAAACTCCCAAAGCAAACATGCGAAGGTTTCTCCAAGGCACAACCACCTGTTGGTCACCGGGTAGGGCCAAGAGGATGGCCAAATTATGTGTATCCGACCGACCCCGGTCGCACCTTCGCGTCGCGTTGGGCGATCTCTGGGTGGAACTTCCAGCACCTGGGAGGCGAGACTGTCAGCCACGTTCGGCTCTGATCGGACGGAGCAGAAAGGATGACCGGGGTCGCAGAGCTACATCCGCTCGTGGCCGAAATGGACGGGCAAACGTGTCCGGATGATTTCTCTTTGATGCGTAAGCCCAGTGGTTGATGAAGAATGGGTGTTTACCCCTCCAATACTACTATTGGCCAAGAGCTTTGCCAGGATCTCAAGGGCAAAAGCCGCAAAAGCTGTTGCCAGGAGCCATGGGGCATCACTGCAGCGACTCTGAAGGGAGAATCTAGCAGCAAAAGGAGTGTCGCCATGTTTTCCCGAAAGAAAAGCCGTGCATGGTTCTTGGCTCTTCCCACTGTCCCGCTGAGCTTGTGGACTCTGCATAGATGAAATTCTGCAGCAATCTCTTGGTCGGTGTAAATCTGGGCGAGAGCTGATCTACAAAGCAAAGCCAAGCGTACCGCGACGAAACCATAAAGCTCATAACGAAACATGGACACGAATCACCAGTATTCGTTTCGGTTGTTCGGATTCCATGGCTTTAGCGTTTATCAGCTGACTGGTCAAAGACATCTTCAACTGGCAAGGAATGCTGGAGCTCTCCAAAGCTCTTTTTGATATCTTTACTTGACAAATCATTGACACGCAGATTCCCTTGGCATCCAACAGTCCAGTCTTGCACACATCTCACACCATCATACACCGCCCAAGCTCTTTTTTGCAAGACCAGGAGCTTGTCAAAGGTCCAATCTACTGGCACTTCCGAGACCGGCTCATCGTCGGGCATGTGCAAGGTTTCATAATACCTGTCTCTTCAGTCGCTGGAGCGACTGAAGAAGTGCATCGAGGTCAAACAAATCCAAGCAACACCTCCCCATACACTCAGAACCTAATAGCGATGGCCTCCAACCTCCAGCGATGGCCTCCAACCCAATAGCGATGGCCTCCAACCTACCAGCGATGGCCTCCAACCCAATAGCGATGGCCTCCTAATAGCGAGGGGACTGAAGAAGTCCTCTGCACAAACTCAGCCTGGCACATCCCCCTCGAATGCCTCAGATCAACCATCTCCCACCCCTGTTTTGCGGTCCGGCGGGTCAAAGCGCACCGAAGGACCAAGCACTCAGCGATCGTCGATCGCTTGGTTGGGTCGAATGTGAGCCTGGGAAAGGTGCTTACCCTGACAACAAACTGACACAAGCAACTTTCTTGAGATGCAAGGGAGCGTAAGGTCTTCTGTGGTAGGCGCAAACTTCTCATTCGCACCCCTTTCTGTAGCTCGTACAAGAACGAAAGGGAAAGGCTGGGGAAGCGATGTCCTTTTCCCCGAGCACCAGGCATCTTCTCAATTGCTTCAATACCAGCCTCTGTCGCCTGTGCATGCTTCAAAATGCGGAAGATTCTGACGTCCAAATCCAGAAAGAAATGAGCTCATGAAGCCCACTTGAACCAACTTTTGCTGGTGGACACGAACCCCCAGAACGCTTGGATTCTTGTGCTCCAATCTTGGTCAATCTTGGTGTGAAGCCAGTAGCACAGGACCTGGAAAACAGACTTTGACGATTCTGCCACATACTGTACAACTGTGTATTCATGCAACTCTGCCCCAAAGCTGCTCACGAGCCTTGGGATAAATGCTCTTCCAGCTCTGCTTAGTCGAGGGTGGCACCTGCTAGACAAAATATCGCTCAGGTCCTGAAGATGCTACTAAGCTCTTCTCACAATCAGAGAGGTCTGTTTGCACAAGCAAAGGCAGGTATGCTGGTAAATTTTACAGAGGTGTCTGTCTTTCTTGTGAGACTTTGGATCTGGAAGACATCTAGAAGCCTACGACGATTGTCAATTCTGTTCCAACACTAGAAGCTTCACGTTTTCCAGATTTGGATTGGTCACAGAAGTACGGGAGACCATGGGAGACCGATCCGGAAAGCACCTGGCTCCGGAGCTCACTAAGGAAGGTCTTTGAGGCACTGTTTTCCCTCCCAACCCGTCCATCCACACCTCTAGAAGTACGAGAAGCCACGAGAGCCTAAACCTCAGCTACGCGTCTTCACTCCGGCTGCGCGTTGGCCTTCTTGATGAAGTTCCGCGCTGGACTCCGAGGAGGTAGCCACGCCAAGTCATCCTGCGACATGGGTATGTAAGTCACAAGCATTGACTTCAACGCAACTGACCCCAAGGCGCCACGCAACTGCGCCCATGTGGCCCCAAGGGGTGGAACATGTTCTCTGATATGGAAAGACTGACAAAGGTTCCCGGGTTTCCCGCCTCGGAGGGAGTACCAAGGACTTGCAAGATCTTCTTAATCTGGTCCAAGTGATCCTCACAAGAGCGGAGAGAGGAAGTCCTCCTGTACAATCTCAAGCAATGGTTTTGCCACATGAAGCGAATCGAAGGGTCTACAGGTTCCTTCATGATGACAGTGAATTCAAGCAGTCTCTCTATCAAAAGGGCGCGGGAGAGTTCTAGCTGCTTTAGCATTGGGACTACAACACAAAAACAAGCATTGACATTGACAGCACGCAAAAGTCTCTGGTCATCAGCCCTCCTTGCCGGTGAAGATTGGCTTTCGCCCGATGAGCTCGCAAAGAATACAACTGAGAGGGCCACACTGTCAGGAAAACGGTCTTGCTTAGCTGTTCATCTGCACAAAAAAGTCCTATCAAATAACCATTGCTGGCTTCAAAGGCTTGAGATGAGATGCAAAGGCTCCAGTCCGCAAAAAGGATGTGATGAAGACACCGGCCCGGCCAGTTCGGTAGCAATCCCGGAGACTGGATGATTGTAATCATGGTAATGCCCACCATCCATTTGGGGGGGCCATGGTCGTAGCTCATGTGCCGCCAGGGACCGCACCCTACTGACCACACGTCAATGGACTTGGTGTACTCTGACGCCAGCAGTACGACCTGCCGCAGCGGCAGGGAACATGTTGAACTGGTCCTGCAAAAAATGAATTGGGTTCGAAGCCGACAATTCTTCATAAGCCAATGAAGTGAAATACTGAAACATACTGGAACTACAATTTGGCATGAAACTACCACATGTTCTTAGTTCTTCTACAAAAAGGACATGCCAGCTCAAAGAAAAGGATTCCCTCGTGTGGCCTCAGGCGCTCGGTACCATCTGGTCACCACGTAGTCCGTTAAGGTTGGATCATCCTGGCTCGGGGGTTTTTACATTTCTACCGATGGCAGTCGGCTGAGGCGGGGTTTGCAGATCAAGATGCCTGGTCACCAGGGGGAAGAACCAACACCTTTCGGTGCATTGTATTGGAATGATCTGGAAAAGTGTCATTGTGAGGGCACTAGAGATCAGTTCACGGACTCTCGCCATGCAATCAAGATCGAGGCAACGCCTAAACTTCCTAAACCTCAAATGATGACTCTTCCCAATGCCCTCGAACTGGGCCCGGCCTCGTCATTGCCAAGGCCGCGCGCCAGCCCGAAGTCGCAAATCTTCAGGTCGCAGTTTTTGTTCACCTTGGCCCATCGAAGGAAAGGTTGGCAGAGCTCAGCTTTTCAAGGTCACATGTCTTCAACCTGAGGTTGTGAGTGTTCATAGATATCCCAAGCAGTTGAAATATGTCCAAAAAGGGTGGCTGCAAGCCGTCTTAGTGGGCTGGAATACGCTGCGCATGTCCCATATTGGATTCGCCTTCACGCATTTCCCGCGGGTAAGTGGAACTAAAGAGAACTTGATGTCATAGTGGCCGCAGTATGCCGCAGTAGAAAAAACAAATCCTAGGGTGCATGTCTGCAGCATCTGAGCATCCCACGTTCTGGCTTTGACTTTTACACTTCTGCACATATATATGGAAGCCAGGAACCAAAGAAGACCTAAATACATGGCACCGCAAACCTATATTTCTGACTGCTATGTTAGGGAAATGTCTAAGAAATGTAAAAAAGAAGACTAACATGGAAGTGGAATGAAATCATTGGAAATGCACAGTTTCCATCACTAACATGGAACCCGTACTGTGTGTGTTGGCTTTCCTGTAGCATTCTTAACCTGCTTTATGACTACGTGCCAAAATACTGTACAGTGCAGTACAGTACGTCATTTGGCTCGGGGCTACTGTACATCCTCCATGCAGCATTGAACCCGACATCCAGGCCAACGACAGCTAACAAGGAACCAGAGAAATTGAGACACATACACATCTCTTCCCAGGATAGACCTGTGACCCTGCCAAAATTTGTGACTTCTAGGTTAGTGGGCTTTGCAAGAAACAATCATTTTACCACTAACCTGGCACTGCAGATGCTGCAGAAGTCAAGCAGAGATGCTTTCTAAGTTAGTGGCATTTCTTTGGTTGAGGCTCTGCTTCCGCATATCCCAATCTATGTTTTTGCCTCTCTGCTTCTACGTATGCGTGCGGAAGAGTAAAAGAAACAAAAAGTGCCAAGAAACCTCGTCCCGTTTCATGGATAGCCGGTAAGCCGGTCCGAAACACGACATAGAACTTGCCATGGTGGAAATGAATCAACTGTTTGGGACGTCCGAGGGCCCATTGGATTCATCGGTCTTTGCACCAATCAGCCGACGCGAAGACCTGCGAGTCTACCCAGCGACTCCTGGATCGGCGACCGGGGCACCAGGATGTTCGCGGGCTTCAAATCCCGGTGCACCACGTTGGCACCTCACCATGCGAAAAGAGGAGGAGACTGTCCGCGCACCGTCGTCCTGAAACTTCCACTGTCCACTCGGCAAAATAGGCGAGTGCCAATTGCTTTTCAAACAAAGGATAAGGCCCCAACTGTGCAGATATAGAAGTCCGCGGAGGATCTGATAGGAGAAGTACCTCGAACCACCAACGCAAAAGTCAAACGTAAGAATCTGGCCATTCTCGAAACCGGGCTGTTTAAAGCCAAACAGTGAGGCACTGATGGTGCTCATCATTCAAGACCTGACAGAGCGAAAGGTTGTGTTGGAATGTAGACAAGCCACCCTTGTTTCAGACCCATCAGCATTCTAGAAGCTCGCTCGAGCAGCTAGCAACTTGCCGTAACTAGTCATGCATCTAAACTGCAAATCCGGAGACGTCCAATTTGTTGCTTCTCCAGAAAGGAAACACATCACCTCAGCCTTTCATGTGTCACTCGTCAAAAGAATTGGGACCTCAAAAGAGCTGAGGTCCCAAGGGCCTGCCGGCCGGCCTGTTTGGAGTAGATCACTCTGTGCAGGTCGGTCTCCATCAAATCAGTGACCTCAAATGAGCAAATGAGTCCGAAAAATTCAAGGGATATGTTTGTTCAAAGCCACGTTGGATTCGTTTTCATAGGCTGCGGCAGCTCGAACGGCTGAAAAAAGAAACCTGGCCATCCGCTGTGCGTCGAAGTCCAGGGGACCGGACGATGTAGATGTCTTCAAAGTCGGGATGTTCTGGCCAGGTGAGAGAGCCAACGCTTACTGTGGCAACGCGTACTGTACATGACTTACATCTTGCAGACCCTACAAATCGCGTCAAGCCCAAGTGGGAAAACACTATTGGAGAGGATGAGATCTATATACAGTAGATATAAATGCGTTCAATAGCTCAAACTGACGAGGAATTGGTAACAAACCATGTGTGCCAAATATCGGCCTTCACCGCTTGAAACGATTGCTGCCACCAGGTCAAGGTTTGTCCGGGAAAGCTTGTCCGTTGAAGGAGAAAGAATGAGACAGGATTTCTGATAGACAGATTCCCCTACTTTAAAGCTCAGTTCAGGTCCTTGGTGCAACGACACAATATCACTATTTAAGGATCGCCTCGGACCATCCCCGTCCGTCTTCGATTTCGACCCATCGCACAAGACGGGTGATGCTTTAGACGACAACCGCCGACGGATGCGCGCCTGGCGGATACATGTCCAGAATGCTGATGATCTCAGTAGTCGGATGATCTACACAAGTATGGTTCAACAGCATCAGCATCGATTTTGCACCCCGCTGGGTGACCATGAGTATGCCCGGCTGTGTAAACACAAAAGCTAGATGCATCAACTTGAGGCCGAGGGTTGGTGACGAAAGCTAGCAGGGCATGGGGTGAAGCGGGGGATAGCCGAGCGAGAAAGCGGTCCAAATCCTGCCGCCACAGGAACAGTCAGCCCCCTGCCAGCGGAAATACACACGTCCCGGAGACGTCCCAGGGAAGAGTTGAACCCGCGGGGGGGGAGGGTGGGGCCCCCTACATGTGAAGTTTTCACGCGATGCGGCGCTCGAGGATTCCAGCCCCTCACTTGCTAAAGCAAGAACAATTCCAGCTAGCTGGTGCTAGCTTTCGCGAACTGAGCAGCAAGAGTCTGCACTTCAATCCTTGAAAACTAGGTCCATTTGGTATGAGTTTGATCTTGCCTCATATATCTCAGTTTGTAATTCCAAGTGCAAACGGATCTTGTTGTGGCATTCAAATGTCCACAAACCAATGTCTGGTAGGTTTCGTGCGGAGAAAAAATAGACTCCCAACTGAATTCCAAGCCAGCACGGGTGCTCCCAAACCCTCCACGAGCATCCACCAGCAATCATCGGCTGGGATCCCAGAACATTGTCATGCCTGAAGCTCCGCAGCAGTTTCACCTGTCAAAAACTGCAAAGGGCATAGGGCATACATGCGGCAGTTGCGTGTACCTGACGGTCATAAATGATGCTCACGTTTGGAAAGTGTTCTCCAACACAAAAGGAGAGATTGAGTTTTACGGAATCTGGTAGAAATATAGTGATATAGCATATATAGTGATATCTATATTTCTATATCAATAAAGCAGCAATGGGAGGAATGAAATGAACTTCTTTGAATCAGCCCAAGTGAAACCTCGTCAGCTCGCCCATTTGATGGCATCTCTTTGTTTTTCATCGACGACGGCCGGGCTGTCGGCGTTTATTGGATCGGTTTTCTGTCTCCCTCTTCTCCATGTGCCTCACGTAGAATCCGTTTCCCATCCACAAGATCGTGGAAGGCATCTGTAATCTTCTTGACCTCGTGGAATTATCCCAGAGAAGAATGAACAAATCAAATCCCCTTGCGTCGATTGGTGCTTCGTCTGGAAAACCCAAATCGAGCAAATTGTTGAATTGTTGGAGCCATTCAAAGCAGGCTTACATGAAAACCGTGCAAACACCGGCTTCATGATCGTCATCAGCCGCTTAAACGGATGCAGTCCTTTGAAATCCAAGTCACCGCAAGCTTTGAGCCCGTCTTTGGGTCCTGAAACGAGGCCACGGTGCCATATGCTCCTGAGCCCACCTGGCAGAAGTTTCAGAAAGGTGTGGTAGCAAGCTCCAAAACACAGGATTCCAATACATCTGATATGATCTGATAAAAAATCAATGCCCAAGGCCGTTTGGATGTCTGGCTTGAGTTGGACGGAATGTGTCTTGAGCGGAAGGTATTTTTTGTCGAACATCGCTAGAGCCGCTAGAGCGCCAGCTGCGTTCCTGGCAAGGTGGAACCTTGGGAACTCACCGGTGGGGCAAAGCTCAGGATAACATGCAGGTGACCTGTGTCTCTAAGCATTACCTTCATCATGCCTGAAATTTCCAAGTGCCGTGGAGCCACAAAAAGAGGCATCCCCTCGAATGCTGCTACTTGGTCAGGCAACTCTGCATTGGGCTCTTGCTTCGCAAAGGCCCTCGCTTCGTCACACAGGCGATGCATGATTTCACCTGTAAAGGCATGTGGGAAGATCTCGCACAAACTCCGCCCAACCAAGTTGGCTGAAAACGGGGCAGACGCTGCACTAACAATCTTCTCATCTACATTGATGTCCAAGAAAACACTCTTCTTGCTGATCTGCAGGCATTGCTCCGCGATGCCATTGCTGAGCACGCGGTTGTTTGGTTGAGACGGTTGTAGGTCCTGGTAGCTTTCCTCTGTGTTTAGTGTGAGAGAGCCCATCTCATAGCTGGGCACTTCGGAACGATCTGAAACAGCAAAGACTTGGCGTGGAACTCTTGCGGCTTCCGCAGCAGCCATCTCAGGGCTGTTCAAGGCCAAGGGCTTGTCATCAGTAAAATCTCGGAGCCCCAGGAGATGGCATTTCTGCCCATTCATCTTGGTGTATTTCACCTGGAAGATCTCTGTCCTGAATTTGCTGGAACATCCATCCACCAGGTGAGTATGGAAGGCATGCGCCGGGGCTTCCGCTCTGCTCCCGGCCCATAAATCTTCCGCAGCCGATTGCGCCTCGCCGGCGGCGATGAGATCGGTGAACTTGGTGCCTCTCAGCGTCTCGGCACGGCGGAAGAGGATCGCCGCCAGCTGCGGCGAGTCGTCTTTGATGCGAAAGTCTGAGTCCAGATGCACCACCGCATCGCACGTGAGCTCCAGAAGAGACGACGCAGCATTCAGCTCGGTCTGATTGTCATGGAAAAGGATCTTCAGTTCAACATGTTGGCAAAGAGCACTGTTGGAGAGGAAGTGCACGAGTGCTCCACATCCTATAAAGAACAAATTGGTGTATACCAAGGTGCGGGGGTTTGCAATGCTGCCTGCTGTTGCTGGCATGTCCTCCTGGACCAAACGGAGAACGACCAACACCAAAACTCCTACCTGGCAGAAGAATACCACGGCACAATGCTTGGCGAAGGTTGAAACTGGAATGGCAATGGCCACAAACGAAATGAAGTTCATGGCAAACAGATTTTCCATTGATATGGTCCAAGGGGACTGCCAAAAGCCCATGAGGAGATACCATGCGATACACAACAGGTCCAAGGAGGTGGATAAATACCTTGTGGGCAGCTGGGTCATTGCAATGGAGATGACAGCATTGCAAAGCAGTCCCCATATGGTGGGCCCATTCATCCATCGAGGCATCCTTAGCAGAATGTTGTACATAATAGAAATGACTCCGAATGTGGACATGGCGGCAGCATACTGAGAAAACTTCCTGGCGAGGATCGCCTTCTCTGCACAAACCTGCTTGGCCAAACACCTCGATCCCGCTGTCACATGATGTCTTCGCCGGAGAAAGCGAAAAATACTTCGGTAAGGGTGTTTGCAGTACACACGTGCATGGTAGCATGCAACAGCAACCGCCAAAAGAACCACAGCCGAAGCACAAACGATGAAGCTTTTCTCCTCCTCCGACAAATCAGGGACATGTTCGGTGGAATCCATGGCACAGGATCTTTGTATTATATATACGATATTATACGCAACTTTGCACCTTGAGCACCAAATGCTTGCAGATGCTAGTTTAATGGCTGCAAAGATCAAGCAAAGGTTCTGGCCACAGGTCCCAAGCAAGAGCAGACTTGTACCACGCGGCTGCCTTCTGCCGCATAAAATAGATGTTGCTCGAAGATCGTAACATGTGTTGCCAAATCTTTCGCTGAAATGGTGAGTGAGCCGGGGTGAACAGCAAACAAACACATCTGGTCCTTTGCCGGGCCACACACCCCATTCCGCCCACCTTCTTGATGAGTTCAAGATGAGCAGGCACCTTAAACTTCACCTGCACATGTCGCACATGTTCTTTCGCCCTCGAGGCCCTCCACCCACTGCGAGTCCATCGCGAGTCCGCTACCGATGTCACAAAAAAGCACCAGCCTTCCCGTCGATCACGACCTCCTTCCATGCCGTCGGCGGCATTGACTCCAAAGCGCCTGAGAGGCGCCATCGATCACAGCGCATTGACGCCGAAGCCACCGACGGACTCGCACCCGCCAACGACAGCGAACGAAGAGTTCGCTGAAATAAAATAGTTCGCTTTTAAAACGATCGAACAGCTGCTTGCGTCTGCACTATCTGCACTATAGAACCCCTGGAAAGGCTGAAAGCAATGATCTGGAAGAAAGGCCACGGAATTGATCTGCAGAACGTCTGGTTCTTTCCTCAATTCCACCTCGCACTCCCCAGGTGCCTCGGTACAGCGAACCCGGCTCACAGTTCTTGAGCCAGATAGATCAGATAGTGGTGATCAAGTCGGATGAGATCCAGTTTCAATGTGTCTCTGGAATGACCAGTGAGGTTTTGCTGTTTTGGTTTTTGCTTTGAGAAGGTAAGGTAGCAAATTTGCTGGGACCGCTGAAGAAAATCGATCTGATCTCAGAGTTGGCCACTGGTTTTTACCGAGGTTTCATCGAACCTGGGGCATTCCCTACGTAATCCTTTCTCACACGTGCGCCTGTGGAAAAGAAACCGTGACGTTGCAATTGTCGACCATTCCGGGCATGATCCTTTGTAACATGGTCCTTATCCAGCGAAGACACCATGGATTTGCTGTAACACGAAATGAGGACTCCCACTCCACATTGACATACCTGCTCTTGGTTTGCACTAACCCGGAAGTCCACCATGTTCCCCATCTGTTTGCACTGGATGTATACCAAGTGTTGCGCTGCTTGATCATGAAAAGGAGCAAGCGTCCATGCTGTGCACAAAAGTTGGAAGTGTACAACTACATCCTTGAGTACCCGACTACTTCTTCTTCTTCTTCTTCTTCTTCTTCTTCTTCTTCGTCTTCTTCGTCTTCTTCTGCTTCTCCTTCTCCTTCTCCTGCTCCTGCTCCTTGTCCTTCTCCTGCTCCTGCTCCTGCTCCTGCTTCTGCTTCTTCTTCTTCTTCTTCTTCTTGAGTTCCTGACTACATCCTTCAGTATCAAACCAGCTGACAAAATATTATCCCATCAAAGTGTGTGGTGTGTGAACAAGACGTCGTGCCGAGAGCCAACTATTTAGGATAGCGGTGTTTCGAAAGATACAGCTTCCATGTTCGATTCGTTTTCTGCTTTGAGGCAATGGGAACTTTATTTTATGTGTTTCTTCTTCCTGGCTGTGTGACACGATGCACCCTGCACTGTCCCTTTTTTCAAAGCTGTTGGCAGGGTCCATGCTCCGAACGAGTTTCGCTTGCATGGTTTGGCCTCGATGGTTGACCTCAGTTTGACCAATCGTTGAAATCCCTTGTCAGCAATTGTGAACGAAACCGGGCTGGCTGGGCTTTCAATTCTGCGGCTTGAGTCAAAATGGCTAGAAAATCTCCAATGTGCTTTCATTGAAGAGAGTTCCAATCCGTTTAGGGCAAGAATTCACGGCCTCCATCGGACCTCCCCGCAAGGTTTGACTCACAAGGGCAGCGTAGGCCAAGTGAAACGCATCTGCTTCGTTTAGAACTATTCCAAGTGAAACTGGGTCAAAAGGCGCAAACACAAGGGCATTACTACTAGTAACAAAGAAATCGCTACTAGTAACAAGGGCATTACTACTAGTAACAAGGGCATCGCTACTAGTAACAAGGGCATTACTACTAGTAACAAGGGCATCGCTACAAGTAACAAGGCAA